CTGACGTTGAGCAGCACCCATCTCAGGCAGTTGCCTACGCACATTTGAAGAGTGTCATGGGTAAACATTTCAGATTTGAGGAGGTTTCGCATTTTTTTTTCTTACAAGCAAAAAAATATTTAAAAACTGTTGAAACGAATAAAACAAATTCAATCAATATTTACAGGATATGATGAAAGAGGCCCAATTTGCTGACTTGGCCACACACAAAGGAATCCACGAAGACTTTGAAGCAACGCTGCGTGCCTCCCAAGTGCCAATATCTTCGGAGAAAGTCACCGGCGCCAAGCAGTGGCTGGTCGACCACATCAAGCTCGTTGACTTCAAGTACAAGGGCAAATTGCACGGATAATTTTATTCGGCTAACTTATTCTGGATAATTTAATTCGGATCTAACTTATGAGGAATGCATTTTGGAGTTGAAATTTTTTAATAATTTATCCCTTATTTAATATATGATGAATGCATTTTATAATTAAAGTGTTTCAATAAAATATTAAAAATAAAAATTATATTTTTGAGTTCGCTAAAATATATAATTTAAACTGTATTTCTATACAGCACCAACTAAGACTAAGATAAATCTCTTTACGGCGACTAAAACTAATTTAAAAACTAAACTAAGTATCCAGAGGTCAACTACTTATTGCAAGCCTTCCCGCCGTTTAATTGAGGTTATAATTATATCTTATAACTATCATTGATCATTGCAATCAATGTGGCTTTTATGCAAAGAGGAGAATATTCAAAGAATTGAATTTTCAAAGTGTTTAAAAATTATCTCTGAATGCAAAATTTAGTGTGACCAAAACGTCGGAATCTCCATTACCAAATTGTACATTTTTATGCCCGGGATATTAAGTACTACACGAAACTGGTAACAAACTACCAGCTTTATTCCCAATATTAACTCCATGAATTAATCGAGCAATACTAATACACATGGTTATTTCTAGATACTATATAACTCAAAAACATCGGGATTTCTATTAGCAGATTATACATTTTTATGCTCAAAATTTGAATCTACTACATGAATCTAGCAACATACTGCCAGCTAAATTCACTAATAGTGTGTGAATGTGTGTATGTGCGTGTGTGTATGTGTGTTTTTAAAATCAATTCAGAAGAAATGATTTTTTAACCCTACAAAAAGTCTAGACATTTTTATCTTTTTCCACATCGGCCGTACCTATTTAAGTATTTGTAACATATAGACAAACACATACACAGTTTTGTACAGGAAAGATTTTGAGATGCCTTGATTGATTGGACCGTTAACTGATAATCTTTTCATTATAAATTATTATTCCAGTGAAAAGCTATGATTTTCAATTAGTAAAATAGGAGTCTATTTCTGTTCGGAATCAACTTTTTATGATATTTCACATTTCTTGATTTTAAATGAAACAAAAAAGAAAATATTAAATTTTTTTTCATTGACCGTAAAAAACAATTGCATAAAAACAAATCAAACAAAAAATTTGTTTAATTCATCAAAAATTAAAACTGAATTTTAAAAATTAACACATGCAGTCGAAATTGAAACTTTATTGCTAAAGACAAAGTTATATCATCAATTATTTTTGCAGAGCTAAGTTCAAATCCACACATCCTCAAAACTGACCATGTGAAAAATGAAATAAAGTTAAAAGCCTTAATAAGAGCAGAAAGGTCAAAGAGAAGTCAAATCAGCTAAAATGCCCAGAACAGCCCTTTCCATATTTAAATCTTGCTCTGAAAAAGTTACACTCTTCCCAAGTTCAAAGAAATCAACAACACGCCACAATCAGGGTATACGAGGCATGTGAAAGGCCAGAATCTTTTTGTCAAATAATCGAATCGAACACGGTCACTGAGATACAGCAGCAGGCGACCTTAACCATTAGTCCATCAAATATGTAATGTGTGTGTGTGTGTTTTTAAAGTTATTTTTTTCTATGAAAACTTTTTGATTAGGTGAGGGGGTTGGAATACATATAAACTTGGATTGACTCAAGACCAGTCCCTGTGCCAACATGTGTTCTGATGTTGTTTTTTAATACATTAATATATTTTTAACAAAACAAAATTCATCACATTTTGAGAAGATTCAAAGTTCAATAGCGAGAAGGCTTTTAATAAGAGCAGAAATTTAACTGAATAAAATTTTCAAAAAAATAATATAGAAATAAATACATGGGTATATAATTTTTAAATAATTATTTACAGCTAAACCAAAAATGTGTTCAAGGATAAACCCTAGCAGGAGCCGAATCCACGATCCAGTTTTAAATGCAGAGCTGTAGTTCAGTTCTCATATCAACCATGCATTGTTATAGGCTACGTTATGCCGGGAAAAATTTTAACTTTGGAGGTTTTGAAATTTTTCGAGACAAAGTTTGTGCTTTTGTTTAATATATAAGGATGGAGAGTTCGTGGTCAAATTAAAATTAAATTTTCAAACATTTTGAGATTTAAACTTAGAAAAAGAAGAGCGGGAAGAACAATATGAAGGTCCTCATTGCACTGGCTGCCTGCTTCGTCGTCTGTTTGGCTGAACCGATCCCAGCTCCATTCAAATGGAATGAGTCCTTCAGGGTCTTTGTGAGTATTTCTTTTCATTTTTTATTGCATCATCAGTTAGGGATATGTAATAACTTTAATAATTTGTGAACAGTACGATAAGTTGGACGAGCAGCACAAAGATTGTTCAAGGCCATCGCTGACGTTGAGCAGCACCCATCTCAGGCAGTTGCCTACGCACATTTGAAGAGTGTCATGGGTAAACATTTCAGATTTGAGGAGGTTTCGCATTTTTTTTTCTTACAAGCAAAAAAATATTTAAAAACTGTTGAAACGAATAAAACAAATTCAATCAATATTTACAGGATATGATGAAAGAGGCCCAATTTGCTGACTTGGCCACACACAAAGGAATCCACGAAGACTTTGAAGCAACGCTGCGTGCCTCCCAAGTGCCAATATCTTCGGAGAAAGTCACCGGCGCCAAGCAGTGGCTGGTCGACCACATCAAGCTCGTTGACTTCAAGTACAAGGGCAAATTGCACGGATAATTTTATTCGGATAACTTATTCTGGATAATTTAATCTGGATCTAACAGATGAGGAATGCATTTTGGAGTTGAAATTTTTTAATAATTTATTCCTTATTTAATATATGATGAATGCATTTTATAATTAAAGTGTTCTATAAAATATTAAAAATAAAAATTATATTTTTGAGTTCGCTAAAATATATTATTTAAACTGTATTTCTATACACCACCAACTAAGACTAAAACTAATTTAAATACTAGGCTAAATAGCCAGGCGTCATCTAGTTGTTGCATTTTGGTCCGTGTCTCGATAAACTTTTTAAAAAAATTTCGGCTATTTCAACCACATTTTGCTAATTTTACGTTGGCGCAATGGTTAACGTGCCTGACACTGCAGTTGCAGAGATTGAATTCAATTGCAAAAAGATCTTAGTCAGCTGCACTTATGTAATGGGTGGTTGCTGTTAACACCACACTTAGTGGCAGATCTAGGAGGGAACCGGAGGGACCAGTGCTTCCGCTGCTGTGAGCAGTTTTTTAATGTTAGTCAGGTAAAGGACCGTTTTCTGTGTAAAATCGACGAAAAATTGTAGGTGATAGGCAAAAAAGATGTCGGCAGCGACACTTTCACAAAATCCCCCCTTCAAAATGTTGGCCTCCCCGTGAGGGTTTGTTCCTTCTCGTGAGAATTTCCCTCTCCTGTGAAAATTTAATCATTTTAAATTTTTGGTTCTCTCCACCAAAGTTGATTAGACTTCTTTTTAGGGATTTGTGGCAAGAAACTTGTATAAAAAATCCCATTTAGAAATTTAATTACTCGGAATAAACTCGGAAGAATGAACATTTTTTTTAAAATATAACAGAATTTTGTTTTACAAGTAAAATAAAATAAGTTAAATTCGTATAAAGAATTAAGACAAGTAATAGTAAGATTAATAATAATGATAATAATAATAATCATGGTTAGATTTGGAACTTTGCAATTTATACATGCCTAAATAAAAACTAATAATAAATTAAGACACGTTGGCTGGTTTATTCAAACGTTGTCATAAAACTACCTTAATGAAAGAGACGACATGCCTATTTTTGTTTTTGTGTATTTGCATTTGTGTTTGTGAGTGTGCGTGTGTGTGTCTGTATGTCAGTAAGAATGTATGTATTTACGTATGTAAGTATATATATATGTATGTACGTACGTGTTTACGTACCTACGTATGTACAATCAAAGTGTTAATCCATTTGTAATATAAAGAATTAAGACAAGTAATAGTAAGATTAATAATAATGATAATAATAATGTTTTGGTTTTAACCTACGTATGTATGTATGTATGTGTGTATGTATGTATGTATGTGTGCATGTATATATGTGTGCGTATGTACGTGTGTGTTTGTATGTGTATGTATGTGTGTGAGCAATTACATTATAATTATTATAAAATTCCAAATTTGACACTTTCATATCATCCTAATCATTCCATCTGAATCCAAAGAATCCTTGATCATGAATTGAGCAGGTCTGTTGGACTCTACGTAGAGGTACAATGTTTGATATGTGCTCGAGCCGACGTGATAAAATTTGATGAACACTTAAGAAGGTATATAAGGAGGGAGAGTTGAGATGTTTTTATTGAAATCAAATTTTCAAGTAATTTGAGATTCAGGCTTGTAAAGAACAAGATGAAGTTCCTCGTCCTCCTTGCTGTCTGCTTTGCCGCCACTTTGGCTTTAGACGTCCCAGAGCCGTTCGTGTGGGATGATTCTTTCTTGGTTGATGTATGTATCTCATACGAATTCGGAATCCATTTTTAATTAATTTAACTTGTTTAATTTGTGTAATTTGATTAATTTATAAATTTAGATTAATTTGTCAAATTAATTAAATATTTGAACCGGCAGTATGAGAAGTTGGACGAGCAACACAAAGGATTGTTCAAGGCCATCTTCGACGTCTGCGCTGCCCCTGCTGACGCTTCTGCTTTCGCTCACCTTAAAGATGTCATCGAAAAACATTTCAGATTCGAAGAGGTTTCTCGTTTTTTCATCGATTCGGCTTTTACAAAATTTTTAAAACTATGAATCTAAAATCTTGACAATTAATTTTCCAGGGAATGATGGAGGCTGCTCATTATGGCGATCTGCCTCTTCACAAGCAAATTCACGAATCTTTCGAAGCCGCATTGAAAGCGGGACAGGTTCCGGTTGCTGCTGCTGATATCAAAGGCGCTAAGGAATGGTTGGTCGGCCACATCAAGACCGTCGACTTCAAATACAAGACCCATTTATAATTATAAGTATAATTCTAACTGAAGATACAAAATAAAATGTTTCAAATCTAACTTCTCTTCTTGTTTATTTGTACCAAAAATTAACAAAAATGCTTTAATTAATAACACGCTGTTCAAAATTTAACTCATAATTTTATACATTCATAAGAAAAATTAT